CCAACCTAAACCATTCTATGATTCTATAATATCTGAACTTGATCCTTTTCCGATATGCCAGTACACTTGCTACTAGAGTTCCCATAGACACCTGAAGCAATCCTTTCCGAATAGTTCCCAACAACCTCACTGAAGTCATATTTAAAACTTACACGCAACATGGCACCAACACCTGCAAGATAAACTCCGCACAAATGTTCTTCATAATAATGAACATGACAGAATGGTTACTCCCATCTAATACAGCTCCAGTGCCCCTAAGCACTATTAATAAAGCAGGATGAATACTGGCAAAGAGAATTTCAACTTCCGAACAGCATAAATGCAAGAGTACTAGAGAAGTTCCCCAATCTTGGCAGAAGCGACTGTTACTGCACTTGAAAATTCTTTTAGTCTTCACTATTGCAAACAGCCAAAGAACTTCACTGGAACCATGCAGCTGAGAAGAAAGGTTTGGGATTTTTTCACTTTTGAGGAAAAAAAAAAAATAGTTTAGCAACACTTAGGCAGCAAGTCTTCAACTCAGGTAACTGACTTGGCTTTAGAAGGATACTTACCCTGAAAAAAGTGAAGCTACTAGCTGCTGAATAAGTGTCACTCAAAAGCAGTTTCTTGGCTTTTTCTTACACAGCGGGCAACTTTTCTTTTAAATTCTCCATTTCTGTCTTCTCTCCATTCTTTCTGTAATTGAATAGACAGCTTTCAGAGGTCAGTCCTATAACAACGTGCAAGTTCTAGGAATACTCTTGGTGTTTATGTTTTTAGACTTTAGCCATCTAGACAACATCTGGATTTGCTTACAATCATTGAGCTAGTCACTGAAAACCTGTGACATTCAGGACTTCTGAAAGCTTGCTCTGGGTTGCTATGCAAGCTGATGACAAGACAGTGAGGACACAGCCTTTTCCCCTTGGATTTTTGGGCATTCTCCAAGACTAACCTGGTGGCTACTGGTATTTCAAAATGTCTAGGCTAAAACCTATTTACTTCAGCCTGCAAAGTAGCAGCAATCTCAAACTGTAGTTCACAAGTTATTGTTAGGGTTACAGAAAATGTCTTTAACCGCAGCGATGAAGAAAGGTACACAGCTACTGTGGAGCCAGTAGTTACACTTCAATTTTTAGGACAGTTTCAACTCCCTTTCAGTCTAGCCAGGACTACAGAAATACAGAAGTCACAGCATTTAGAAGCAGCACAGCAGTGTACTTAGAAAGAAAACACCTCCTGGTTAGATACGGCTGTAAGATACTGGCTCCACGAGGAAGACCTTAACAGACTACTCAGCACACCTATGGGGATGGTCTGTGACAGGCATCTGATCTCAGAACTGCACAGATGAAGAAGAAAGATAAAGATGAACAGGAAGATAGGGAAGAGGCAAGTCTGAACCTGGAGATGTGCACACCATGGTATCACCAAAACCTACAGGAAAAAGCACTGCCAGCTTTAAGTTCTTTGTGTCAGCGTCATGACAAGCACAGGAGCATCATACACTGTGTCAAAGGTTGATGTGCTGGGTACTGGCAAGGAAGTGGCAGGAAAACACAGAGAACCCCTTATTTGATGAAGTTCTACAGTTGATAGTTTCTGATATAAGCAATATATTCTTACTGCAGGGGTGGGGGAAGGCATTAAATAAAAAAAAGAAAACAACCACACAGTTACCTGAAGCACACACCACCTTTCCACCTCCTACTGGGAGTGAAGGTTGTAGCACATGAGTGCAAGAAAATTAAGGTAACTGGTACATCCTAACACTCACCACCTCACCTGGCCAGTATGCTGGAAAGCCCAGCTGGTCTTATCTTTCCAGTGAAAGCACTAATAAGGCTACTAATTAATTTGTTCTTTTTAAGCAACTAATACAGCAAGTATTTGCTTCCTTGGATGAGGACAAAGGACAACTTACACAAGATGGCTTAAGGCCAAGGGAAAAAAGTATTTAATTTGTGCCCTCCTAGAAACAAAAACTAAGAATCTGAAGCTCTTTTATATTTGTAGCTCTACAAAGCAAGTGTTCAGAATTGAACAGCCAAGTTTCCAATTTGACAGCAGTCTCTCCAAAACTCTTATTTTAGGTCATGAACTGTTCTATTTGCATCTCAATATGTATTCAGGCTCCTGTCCCTCATTTTTCTCCCATGCCAAGAGACAGTACTTCAACATGCATACTTCATTTTCCTAAGAAGCAGGTATATCCCCTGCCTCTGCAGTGCTGTGACCTGCCTGTAACACCTTACTCTCTAGACTCACTTAAAACTAGAAATGAGACATTAGAAAGAAATTCTTGACTGTGAGGGTGGTGAGGCCCTGGCCCAGGTTGCCCAGGGAAGCTGTGGGTGTCCCCTCCCTGGAAGTGTTCAAGGCCAGGTTGGACGGGGCTTTGGGCAGCCTGGGCTGGTGGGAGGTGTCCCTGTCAATAGCAGGGGGTTGGAACTGGATGATCTTTAAGGTCCCTTCCAACTCAAACCATGCTATGATTCTATTAATTCTATTACTCTAATTAATACAAGTCAGCAAAATAGTTACTAGCATCCAAAGTTTACACCAGTTGATGCCTCAGCACTGTCATCACATTCACATCTGGATTTAAGTTTTTGCTCTTTCAAGCTGGGCTAGAAAATGCTGTGTTTCCTTAAGACATTTTCAACCTTTTCCCGACAGTTAAGGTAAACAATTTGAGTTTTCTAACAACACTCTCAGGGGGAAAGAAAAAAAAAAATCACTCCCAAAGTGGCTGGCAGAGTGAGGCACACTACAGAAAGATGTAAAGATTTGTGAGCTGCTGGGAAGGTGACAAGCACAGCTGAGTACAAGCTTTCTCCTGTGCTAGGTAGGCTACATTCAACATACATGAGTCTGGAAACCAAGGAAGTCTAATTATACTTTTAGCATTTCATTAATAACTTGCTCCTTCCAGTGCTCTCAGGTTTGCCAGCAGAAAACATCCATGTGTCTGGGGTATTTGTTTCCACCAGTAATGTGACACAAGGGGAGGTCCGGCACTCAGAAGCACGTTAAGTGAGGGAATCCATCACTACAGCTTTTTTGTGGTTCTTTGTTTTTCTTCCCATTAAGTTTGTTCCACATGAGACTACTTCCACGATGACGTTTCAGCAAAAGCACTTTTGGAAATACTTACAACACAGATCAAATGCTTCATGAAATTAAGCTTCCATCCACTTTACGAAGTTACAGCTAGCCTGACAGAGCAGGTTAACACACTTCTAGAAAACTCTGCATCTTCTCATTGTCATCTCTCTTTTGCTTACCATCCCAGTCAAAAGACCTACAACTGCTCTTTTGTGAGCAAATATCATGCATTAGACACTGCTGAACTGCAATTCTAGAGTAATTTAAAAGAAAGTATGTTGGTGTATCTCAAGATGAATGGAACCTGAAGTCTGTTCCTCTGCTCCCCTCAGAGCTGAGAATTTTTTCCCTCCCCACAACTAATAGTTATTAGTCTAATTGCTATTCTGCTATAAACACAGCTCTTTCAGAGAGCTGAGAGCTGTGTTTATACACCCACACAGAACAGGCCATGCTTTAGAAACCCAGTGCTGCATGGAACACTTGCACCTCACTTTCCAGAATCCTTACTGCAGATTCACCTTGGTCTTCAACTATAAACCAGGCCGCTTGTCCTCACTCCTTAACCAGTCATTCTAGTCCGGGACAACACTCCCTCCAGAGTTGAAGGCTAGATCCTCAGTGAAGCTTTCAAGTACACCCTCAAAGCTCACACCTACACAACCAAACCTACTGCTTAAATTCATGACCCAGGGAGACTGCTGTAGAGAGGTGGATGCAAAAAGTCACAAGGTAAGTGTGCTGAGGGACCCCATCACATTTTCTCTCTCCATTCAAATCAGCAATTAACAGCTTATATACATTTCCAAGACAAAAATCTTGCTGTATTGTACTAACAACCTATTAGGAACCGAAAAAGGTTCTAGAGTATGTTAACTTCTGCAGCTAAACTTAATGGCAATTGTAACTGCTACAAGTATATAGCCACACAGGATTTTATAGCCAGCTTCCTTCAGTTTTTTAAGGCTAAAGGAGTTGAAGTTTATCCATTAAATACCTCTGTGCACAAGTTATTTACTATATATGAGTTATTGCATAGGAGAAATTAAGCCACTGTCTATGAAATCTAAGAGCATCCTTCCCTTGCTGTCTGTAAGACATTTCCCAGGGATAACCAGTAATTCTGTTTCATAACATGACTGCATTCTCCAACGAAAAGGTAGCCTTAGCCTGTGATAGAAAAGGTTCTTCCGAAAGTGACTGTACTGTTTGTCAGACTAGAAGCAAAACTCCATTGCAAGTTTGTTTCTACACTGAAGACAATTGGCAGACCAAGAAAAATCTTACCGCTGCATCAACATTAGCAGGAGAATCACCATTGGGATCTGCCAGCATAGAAATAACACTAATCATTATAGTTTCAACTGTGTGAATGGGAAGCCAGCGTTCCTCAGGTTTTTCATAGCCATATTTGTCTTCTCCAGGCTCATGAAGAATTGAAATGCAGACATCGCCATTCTTGTCAACTACAAAACAGAACAAGGCACATTTCAGTAACGAACAGCATGCTGGCACTTCTGCAGCACAGTTACAGAACTGTTAGTCTTCACTCCGGCTAGTCTGAAAACACACTGGTGAAGACACTTTACAGGAAAGGAAAGTCATTAACTATTACAGAACTCAGTCTGCAATAAATTGGGCTTGGCCAAAGTCTGTTATTATGCCTGGAGTTTTGGCAGAGAGGGCATACAGGGAAGAACTTCACTCTAACACCATGCTGCAACTTTCAAGACCATTTAGATAGGCTTCCACTGAAGAATTTTCTGTTAAGTTCAGCAAACTAGACAGTAGCATTTTTCCCCACAGTAACAGCATCAGCTGGATATGACTGCAATACATTAGAATGTGATTTAAGCTGCTGAAATTGGAAGCTGCCTGACAGGTACTCTGATACTTCTAGAGCTGAAACTCACACAGCATCAAAATAGTCTCTCTCTCTCTCTCTCATGAAGGGAGCAGTGTGCTGGTCTCCTCCCAGCTTTCAACATCTACAACTCAAATAATTACTTCAGAAACTGAACAGCATTCCTCCTTCCAAGTAAAAACCTCCTTCCATTTGATTTTACCATCCCCTCTACATCCAGCAGTCCTTAAGTAAATGAAACATTAGGAGGAGTCTTCTTTGGAGGGACTAAAAGATGCCGTAACTTCCTTTCATGCTCCACTAGAGGAAGACAACCTCGGGCCTTCTATTTCAAACTGCCAAGATGAAATCTCTGCAGGTGTAACAAAAGGCAGCTACAGAAGTCAAGTTTCTCCTCAGACCACAGTGTCACGCTTAAGAAAACAAAGTTTCCCTGAAGAGTTACCAAGAACTCAAGAAAATACTTTCAGTAGCCTCCGAAAAGGCTTTAGAAGCAGTCTTTCATAGCAGCACTACTAAAAAGTAATAACCACAGCAGAATTTATGAAGATGGCAAAGTAAATGCAGAGATTAATATTTCTAACATGAACAGAAACGTATCAATTTATCTTAACCACATTTTATTTCTTGCAAAAAGAAATTCAAACTTTGATATTTCTTACCATTTGGATGCCAGATTTCTGTGATGAATTTCATTTTTGGTGGCCTCAATGGATAGTCTTTTGGAAAAGTAAGATGAGCCTTGAAAACGCCACCTTCACTGGGGAATCAAAAATATCTTAGTAGAGTTTCTTATAAGCTTAAGCTGAAGACTGGAACTTACTGATATATTAAAAGTTCTAAGTTTACCCCTCACACAGATTAACATCATGTTAGTAATTAACAGTACCATCATTTCCATGTACAATGCAGAGAGCTTCTAGATTAAGATCCTTTCACAAGATACTGCCAGCTCCCCAGCACTATCTTTTGATGAATTAGGATGCTGTTCTAGAGGGGGAAAACCACACACAAAAAATGTATATTAAAAAAGCTATCAAGGAATTCACCATGTGGAATTAAAACTTACGTTTTTTCCTCTCAGAGCATTTATCAACAGCAAAAAAATATATTGCAAATAACTCCAAGTGCAGGCCAGCAGATGGTCAGCACCTCTGTCCTAATTTCTTGGTATCAGTCTGCAACAGTGAGCCTCAGTGAAAAGTTACAGAAAGCTTTATGGTTGCGTATACAGCATTACTTTGTGAAGACTTCCACTGCCACCTTTTCAACACTGAGCTAAAGGGACTCAGCCATGGCAGCGAGGTGTTCTGCATTCCAGTTACCCACTAAACTGGAAAACAACAACAAACAAGAGACATCCAGGGTTTTATGTGGCATCACAGGCCCATATTTAACTAGGGGAACAGTTTGTTGTTTGTTTTGTTGTTTTTTCTGGGAGGGTTTGGTTTGTTTTGTTTTTAAATAACTAGGCTGCCATACCCAGGAATAATTCCCTTTGAAAAATGGCCTATATTAAATGGAAAGCCTTATAGATTGAATACTTCACTAATGTCAGTACTGTAACATTTGCTCTGTTACCATCACTTCTTGTAACTGAAGTTTGTAACAAAATTTGAAATTACAAGGGCAGAGATTACAAAAACTGGAACATAACCTTTAAAGAAGGTGGCACGAGATGTGCAGTATGAAAAGCTACTCCCCAGAAGCCACACAGACAAAAGAATTGGTGTCAAAAAACAAGGCTGTTCAGTGCTATTTTCCTCCTGTATTTGTAAAGAAGAGCCACACAAAGCCTTCCGAGAAAATAAGAAGTTTTACCACCACTAACCAAAGATGTACAATTCTAGCAAGTGTCTCAAAACAAAAAAAAACCTGACCCCAACCCATAAAGCACTTGATCAAAGTTACTTGGCTCTTAAAAAAAAAGCAGCTGAGGGGATCTGAACCACAGCATTCATTTTCTACAAGTTTTCAAAAAGGCAGGCAGTTTCCAGAGAATCCTTGATCCTGGGAAGGTAAGACTACCAAAAACACTGGAAATTTTACCATCCATACTAGCCAAGACAAAGGAGGGTTAAGATTACATCTGTTGGTAGCCCCAAACCAGGTAAATCCTTTCTTTCAAAGTGAAGTTAATTCTTTCCCTTCTTAAATCAGCAGATCCTAAAGCCACTAGGCTGTATGACATACATGGCTGTCTTTCTTCAACTACATAAAAATACAGCTCTTTAATTGGATACACATTAGAAAACAGTTAATAAATTACAGCTGTCAATTAAAGGAGACCAGTACCATTTTTTGACAGTGTTCCTAATAAAGGGGTCTCTCTCGGTAGCGTCATGCACTGAGTAAAGACTTTTTGGTAAACTTGGAATAAATAAAGAAGGACCAGAAACGAGACTAAAGGTTGAAGACTTTGCACCTCCTGGTTAAGTTAAACTATTATGTTCTACTATCATCATAAAATGGCCTGGGGAGGAAGGATTTGGTATAATGCTACCTTGAAAAGCAGCAACTAACGATTGAAATAGAAGAAAGCTTCTTATCTGAAAAGCTTCAAAACAAGCTCAGCACCTTATTGAAAGGGGGAAAAATGCTATTGCAATTTTCAACACATAAGAGGTTCAACGAGAAGCTGTATTTCTTTACTGACAACATTATAAAATAGCCATGAGAATATAATGGAGTCACTACAAGACTGTTCAGAACAGGTCAACAGAAGTTGGAGAACTTGTCTCATGCAAGACTTGAAAATCCCAATGCAGTGAGCTTGAGAAGCAAAGCAATCTGATTACTGTGCTGAAGTACTTTTTCATAAGTCTACAGAAGGAGGTATATAGCAACTTCATGTTGGAACTAGAACAGACCTCAGGTAAATGTCACTAGGCTTTTTGTGTCAGTAATTTACCACTGGAGCAGCTCAATGAAGGCGAAAGAGTTCATCTTCAAGAGCTACACTTTAAACTGACCTCTTCTGGGCACAGAGTCTATTCCTAGGAGCTAGAATAGACAATCATATATATGTCTATGACAAAGAGAAATCATTCTCTCAATTAGCTAGAGGTATTTTGGTCTTTATTTTTTTTTGTTTTAAATAAAACACATGACACCAAACCACTCTGCATCTGCCAGAGTGCTTCAGCTATACAGCACTGCAACAACACAGTGACCTTAAAGTCCAGGAATAAAAAGGAACTCTATGAACTGTACAGTTTTGTGTTCAAATATCAATTAAAAAACCCAGACTCTAGGACAACGTTATAAGCTTTCTCAAGCCCTTACAGTGCAAGGTCTGACAAAAATTCAGATTTGATCAGCACTGAGGTACTCTAGGTCACACTAGGAAGTTCACTTACTGCAAACTGCCAGGATTTGAGGCTAATTCTATGATCTGCTGCCATCTTCCCAACGACATCCCTCTTTAATATTTTCCTACAGTCACCAGCATGAAGTTGTAATGGTTTAAAATTGTACTATCAGCTAAACTAGAGCTCCACAGCAATAACAGCCAATAGTGGATTATACCTGCCTTACTTAAATGCATAAGAAAACAGAAGCTGCCTCCAAGTGTAGCCTACTCTTCTCATTTGTACACGAGTACAAAGGAATCAGTGTTGCATTTTCCCAGGAGAGCAAAGCAGTTTAGAACTTCTACAAAGCAAATTCAGCTATTTACAGGTATTTTCCTATTAACAGAACAGCATTGCCTAACTCAGCCAGTATGAAGATTCAGGTTAACTTCTACTCAGATCAAACTAGAACTAGTAAATCCAAGTTCACTTTAGTTTCTGTATAAATATCAGTACTTACTATAATGTATCTGGAGGACCAATAATAAGGACTTCCCATCGATAAAGATCATTGTCATCTATTAAGCCCGCTGAAAAGCCTTCCACTGGATTTTTGTTGAGCTCTGTGTAGGAAAAAGAATTTAAGAGTGACTTCAGGTGTCCGATATACATTTGTTGTTTTTGCTCATGCCTCTATACGTGATCAAAAAACCCCATGACTTTTAGTGATCTGGCACTTACTGATGGAGTTACAGTTTGGGTGAGTATCCTCAGCTCCCTGTCACACACAACAACATGCTGCCAGAGCTGAGAGCCCGAGTCTGACTCTCAAAACTACCCAAGCACATCATGAGCAGGGGGGCCAAAATACCTCAGAACTGTGACACACGGTGTCCTAAACTGGATACCAATAGGTGTGTGTGCAAGTCAGAAAACAGATTCTCTACTAATAAAAGAAGCCATGCTGCTTTATAAGAACCCCGAGGAGCCAAATTAAACTGAAGTCTACCTTTAGTTCTAGAAAATATTACAGAAGAACAAAGACCATGTCTTCATTTGAACCTAATATCCAACTTCCCTTCAGTGATTCTTTTCATAATCTGAAGACATTGGAGCCTTGTGCCAGTGCATTATGGAGGTAATGATGTACTACATTCTAAACTACTAGAAGAGACCATAGGTAATAAGCTTTTATACTGTTTAGGTTTCAGGATTTGGTTTTGGTTGTTTGTGGGGGTTTTTCCCTCCCCTTTCATTTCAGTTTTATCCACTAATGATAAGCAAGATAGCATTTGAAGTTTATAGGCTACTTCATATAGTTACTGCCAAATAGAAGGCTTATCTGCAAATAGCTACGCAGAAAGCAGACCTAGATGTAGACTCCATGGTGTTTCTATCTGCAGCCTGCTCCAGGAAAAAAGTTTAAGATTTGGAAATAAACACCTCAAATGAGCTCTGCCTAAAATTCAACTTGGGGTGGAGGAGAGAGAACCTCTCTTAACTGACAGCTTCAGGTCAAAAGCCAATTTAAATGCCACATTGATGCCAAATTGAAACTGTTCATCTAGCATTTCCAACAGTACATGCAAAACCCTGATGGATTTGGGGTATTTAGGATAGGGGAAGGGGAGAAAAAGTTATTCCTTCAAGTGGTCAGTAATTTCCAGACTAAATTAGGGAATTTTTGTTTGTTTTACAACTACTGCTGCACTTACTTTAAATCCTGTCAGACATCATACAACCCTCATCGTTACATTCCACAGTACAGTTAGTCTACATATTCCCTCTTTATAAACCAAATTTTGTTTTGATTTCTAGGCATTACAGACTTAAGTTCAGAGGTCCTTATAAGGCCCTGCAAAGGACTTCAAGTAAGAACCTACTCTAATAGAGAAAAGGCTACCATTAAGTCCCAACTGATTTGCCTATAGGCTCACAGTCACTGTTAGCCAGTTAAGAACCTAACTTAAGCATGGTTTAAAAAAAACGCAAGAACCACCAATTCAAGCCCTATGCACAAGAGTCTGAGTCCACACGGGGAAAAGAAAGTGCTCGGCTCACACGAAGGATGAAGGTGCTGAAGAGGTAGATAGCAGGACTAGCAACCTCAGCCATTGGCAATTCTGAGTCACACTTATCCACATAGATGACTCAATGCTAGAATCCCAAGAAATGTATTGGAAGGGTTTTTCTTAGAAGCTACTCAGCAGGGGTTCAGTCAACAGATGAGGTCAACCATTCACTCTCCAAGCTGCAGGACAAAGACTTGGGTATTGAACCATATGATGTTTTCTCAAGACAAGGCCTGAAACAAAAGGCAGGATCACAGGCTATTTAACCAAGATGCAGGGTTCAAAACCAAAAGCCATAGCATGGCCACACCTCCACTAGGCAGACCAATTTTCACCCTCTGGCATCTATTGTGGGGACAGCTGCATGAGCCTGAGTAACAGTTCCATTTAATTTTAAGAGAAAGGGGCAGACAGACAAGGTAAGTGTCTCACAAAGTGAGGAATTCACCGGTCCCTGATTCCCTGGTATCAGCTATTACAAGTTATACCACGTTAATAGCTTAATATAACCTCCTTGTTCATGCAGGATTTTATTTTCTTTTTTAAAAGCGACTTCTGCTCAGGACACTTAAGCCATCCGTCCAGATACTGTATTATTGAAATACAGACTATCCAGCATAACAACTACAGAAGTCAGCAGAAAGAGTGCAAATATTAGATTTTAGTATCTCACCACAAGATGTTCAAACCTGCATTTAAGCCTCTAGAACATAAGTTTCCTCATTTCTGCATTTCCATAATGAGAAAACGGTTTATACCAAGTTCTGTGTACATGGCTGTAACTCAAGCTGCTCACATTTATCTTCCTTATTGTTTCTAGTTATCACTTCCCAGTGATAAGACTGCAAACAAGGCTGCTAGAAGTTAAGAGTAGAGAACTCAGCATGCTCGTCTCTCCAAATGTATCACACTATTCTGAGTTCACTGTGCACATTTTCTTTACTTCTTGATTTGTGCTATTTCCATTTCTTTTTAAATTTGTCTCAGCTTCCAAATAACTTCTTTTATCCTTAAGTCCTTTGAAACGTTTTTCATGCTCTTGTTCCCAATGAAAGCCAGCTCTTATACTCTGACTCATACACAAGACCTTGCAGAAGTATATTGCAAAAGGTCTTGTGAGGAGGAGTAAGATTGCTGGATGCCAACTCCGGTAATGCAGAAAAATCTGTAAAGTGTACGAAGGGGACAGCCATTGACTGTGTGTTCAGTCACAGTAGTTAAAGAAATTTGCTTAGTGGATGTTGCCTATAAAGCAAATTATGATGTTACTTCTTTTGCAGGAGATGGCGTCCATCTCTGCTTGTAAAAGGTTCTCATTTGCCTTCCACTGTAGCAACACTGAAACATAGCTCAAATAGCTACTGCTTGCACAAATACTTCAGCTTGAGGTAAGATAACAGATATAAGCTCAGGCATCTTCTCCACTAAAGGTACGCAGAATTTCCATAGGCAAGTTAATATTAACTTTTCCATCCAGATTATTTATGCTGAACTGAACATCAACTACTGGCTGGTTGGCAGACAAAAAGCGAAATCTCAGGAAAGTTTTGCACAGGGACATGAAAAACATCATCCTTGGCCGCTTTACCATTAAATGAGCTGCTGCTCATTAAAACTTACAAACACTGAAGTCTGGGGTTTGACTGGTTTTGGGTTTTCCCCCCTGGATACAGCCAACGCAGAACATCAGAAAAGTTAACTCGTATTATCACCTAGCTCTTCATGAAATGATGCTCTCACAGTAGGGAAATCCATGCACCAAAACTCCTGAATGTATAGCAGTGCCACTACAGCAAGCAGAGAGCACGCACATGCACTGTGCTTACAGGCGTGAGTCAGCTGCTAGGCAGAGGGACTGCTGCCCCCCAACCCGAGCTGCTGGTGACACCGACACTGCTCTCAAGAACAGGAGACACCTGTTCTCTGTGGCTGTCCTTTCCTACCAACTACAGCAGTTAACCACTTGCAGCCTGGACAGCAGTTTTCCTAGACAAACACATGGATGGCAAGTATGCTTCATAAAGCAAAAGATTTGATTCCCACCTCCAGCCAGGGAGGGGGAACAAGCCCTTGGTGTAGGCCCCCTACAAAGCCCTGTTGAAGAGCTAGCCTACAAGTCCTAGAAAAGCAGAGAAGTCAGACACCTACAAAAAACTAGATCCCTCCACAGTATTTTTTCAGCACTTAGTTTTCCTTTGGAATTTCTTGTTTAACTAAAGATATGCTGCACTTCTTAAATGTAAACGAGTATATTAACATATTTCCATCATGTCCATTCCTAAGTAAGTGCAATTTACTTGCCACTACTATATATTACACTCTATGGTTTAGTATTTCTGCCACTATTGTCTGCATTTCTAATAGTTAAATCTAATATACGTTTTTCTTCACAAAGGAAAATATAAATCTTACGTTCACTGTAGAAGCGGGTTCAGGTAGAGGCCTTTGCAGCTCGAGCAGCAGCTGACAGCCAAAGCAGCACAAGCCTGGGCAGCTGCCAGCAGCAACACACTGGAAACAGACTCCTGTGGCCGCCTGGATATCAGACATTCAGTTCCTTTAAACCCAGTCCTGAACCAATGCCCGTTTTGGGACATGAGTAAGACTACAGGCCCCTAATCCAACAGAGCTCTTAAAGTCCAGAACAGACTTGAAGATCCAGTGCCCAGTCTCCCACACAATCTGCCAACAAAACAGAATGCTCCTTTAGCAGTTCACCTCTTCCTAGAGCAGAACTGAGTTACCATTGACTTAAACTTGAGCCAACACACACAGTTCCATAAACTGTGCTTCCAGTTTCAGTGTTTAGTTTACACCAAGCTACTGATATTCCCACACTCACTAAAACTGCCTTTATATAAGCCAAGAGACTTCCAGCAATCCAAAAGCAAAACAGTATCAACAAAAATGACTAAGCAGAAACAGCCCCATGGCTACATGCAGCAGCTATGTACGGCATCTCGACTTTTCAGCTTGACGTTTCACCCAGCCAGCCACCACACATGAACACTTCAGCATATTTTAAGCTACACTACTGAACAAAGCTTTCAAAAATATAAGCTTCTACGTTTTTAACAGCAGCCTCTACAGCAACTTACGCAGTGGTTGAATTTCATGCAACCAGTGGATTGAGTCCCAAGCACAGTATAATTCTTTTACTAGTCAGGTATCACAGTATTCTAGACATAAGCTAAGAAACCAGTTTCTTAGCTGTGTACACTCTGCAGCTCACTGTTCATGTGAGATGTGGCACACTTGAAGCCAGACAACTGAAAGTTCAGGTTAGCTATTTAGTTCAAAAATTACTCTTAACACAATAACCAGAAGCTTGCAGGTCTTTGGTACTGTCTTGGTTCTTAAAGCGTTCCCCTTAGTCCCTTAAGTACACTGAGGTGGCCACCAGTAGACACTGCCAGTGCTCCTTTCAACACTGATCTCAACTTAAAGGTCTCAAAGTCAGCTATCTCACTCTCAATTAGATCACAGATGTGCTTACTCAGCCCATGATCTGTTCCCATGCACCACTTTGCCCAAGAGCTGTAAAGACAGGC